AAGATACAGTGCCCAGGGTGCCTGGGTGGCTCAGTTGGTTAAGCGACTGCCTTCGGCTCAGGTCATGATCCTGGAGTCCCGGGATCGAGTCCTGCATCGGGCTCCCTGCTCGGCAGGGAGTCTGCTTCTCCCTCTGACCCTCCCCCCTCTCATGTGCTTGCTCTCTCTCATTCTTTCTCTCTCAAATAAATAAAATCTTAAAAAAAAAAAAAAAAAGATACAGTGCCCAGCATTGTGGCATCGAAAGCACCTGCGTGGTTAACAATGCAGATTCCCAGGCTCCACACCAGACTTCCTTCACTGGAATTTCGGGGCCCCCAGAAATCTGACATCCAACGGGCATCCCACAGAATTCTGATGCACTACGGCAAAAAGTAACAGATGTGTGATTTCAGTCACACTGATTCTCAGTAGGGCTACTGTCATAACGGTCAACCCAGCATTTTTGTAAAAGCGTGGTTTTTTCCTCCCCAATATGAGGATAACTTGAACTTACATAGTTACTTTTGTGAAGTGGTATCCCAAACACTCCTGTGGTCATATCCCTCTCTCTCCTCTCTGCCCTCCCCCAAAGGAAAAAAAATTGTGCAGGATGGGGGTGCCTGAGCAGCTCAGTTAGTTAAGCGTCTGCCTTCGGCTCAGGTCATGATCTCAGGGTCCTGGGATCGAGCCCCGCGTCCGGCTCCCTGCTCAGCGGGGAGCCTGCTTTTCCCTCTGCCCCTCCCCCCCAGCTCATGCTCTCTCACTTTCTCACTTGCTCTCTCTCAAATAAATAAATAAAATCTTTTTCAAAAATGGTGCAGGATGGTCACCTTTGTATTCAAACCATATAATTTGGGGGAGGAGGGAGTTTATTGTAACAGGAGTCCCAGTCAAGGTTGAGTGGGAGGCAATGAACTTGGAATGAGCAGGACCAGGACATAGCAAATCATGCAGGCAGGAGGGGTGTTTGGTTTCCTCTTAGAACAAGGAAGCCTATTAACAAAATGCTATCAATCAATGAGGGGAGAGATCATATAAAATACAACATATTGGCTTGTGAGTTTAGGGTAAACATTTTTACTTCCGAATTATTTTAGTGAATATCTTCATATTTATTTTTCTAACTTTTTCAAACTGAACCACTACTTATACATATAGTTAACAAACTGTTCTAAAAGGTCCCCCCAAAATCATCTATGTTTGAGTTCAGATGCCTCAAATTTAGTAACTATAGAATTAGTCTACTTTATTTCTCTTTAACTTAAAATTCATCACAAATTTTTTTTGAACAATAAAAGAGAAGAGCAGGAACCATAGAGAAAAAGATGATAAACTCTTGACTGATTTATGATGTATTTATGTGCAATAATTTCCCCTCACTGGGAACAGTGGCTCAAAAATCAGAATTTTTTTCCAAACACATTTTCTCTCAAATTGTGAAGAGTCATAATCGCTTCAGAACACTCAAGCCAGCAGTTTCTACAAGATATCAGGAGCTCTGTGATATAAAATAAGCTTCACTCATGTCACAAACTGCATGATCTCATCCTTTTTAACGGTTGTGTAATATTCTACCACATACACACACACACACACACACACACATCTTTTTCATCCATTCATCTGTCAGTGGACACTGAGGTTGCTTCCTTATCTTGGCTATTGCAAATAATGCAGCTATAAACAGAAGAGCACATATATCTTTTCAAATAAGTGTTTTCGCTTTCTTTGGGTACATACCCAGTAGTGGAATTACTGAATCATATGGTAATTCTATTTTCACTTAAGGAACCTCCATACTGTTTTGCACTATGTCCGACCCCTGAAACTAATGTAACATTGTGTCAACTATACTCAAATAAAAAAAATTAATAAAATAAGCCTCACTCTTAAATTAGTCCTGAGTTTAGTGCCTGCAGATTCTCAGAGAACAGCTCTCAGAAAAGAGTCCTAACAAAATAAACCCCCTGAAATCTCTAAAATCAGGGGAGGCAGAAGCTACACATTTGTTCTCGATAAGAAAACAAGTTTAACAACATGTTTCATCTCAAAAACATGCTGATTACTGGAGTTACATTAGATTTCCACTGTTGATTTATGGTGAAAACACATAATTCAGAACCACTCTAGTTTAGACGGCATGAGGAATAGCTTTATACTGCCCATGAATACAGTAGGAATATACTAGAAGCATAATAAAGATTTTGTGAAACATGCTTAATCTGCTTAAGAAAATAAATTTTGAAAACTTTTTAACCATATGGAAATTGTTCAAGCTAATTACAGGTAAATCCTCTGTTAAATATAGCAGGACCCCCTAAAATTCACTTAAATGTTAGAGTCCAAGTTTGGACTTAATTAGATTATATTTACTTTTAAATCTATACATTGGCCCCATTGGTAGGTTTTAAAAAAATACTAGCAGATATCAAGTCATAGATATTATTATTATTTAAAGATTTTATTTATTTACTTGACAGAGAGAGAGACAGCGAGAGAGGGAACACAAGCAGGGGGAGTGGGAGAGGGAGAAGCAGGCTTCCCGCTGAGCAGGGAGCCAGATGCAGGGCTCCACCCCAGGACCCTGGGATCACGACCTGAGCCGAAAACCAAGAGTCAGATGCTCAACCAACTGAGCCACCCAGGCCCCCTTGGGGTAAGTTTTTAAACTTCTAGACATTATGTATAAGATGATGTGTTTCTTTAGAGATAAGAAATCATGTGCTTAATTATACTGTTCTCTGTGAATAAGGATAGAAGAAAGATCTAGTCACATTTCTCATAAACGTGGTTTTCACAGTCATGTTACTTGTAAAATCTTCACCAGTTTAATTAAGGTTTTGTAAATCTCAAATTCCAGGAGAAATCCAATAATACCATTATTATTGTATCAGGTGGCTAAGCAACCAGTCTTTTTTCCCTTTTTTTTTTCCAAAACAGGAAATCACTTTCAAGGGTGTTAAAAAAGATCTTTAGATAGGGCAAGACATGACATTGCATTTCCAGAGTCACTGTAGCTCAGTGGTTGTCTCAAGCAGTGCTGTTTTTGCCACGGGGCTGGAAAAGCATCCTCAAGCCTGATTTTGCACATTTCCGTGGCCAGATTTCCCTCCACCATCTGATGCTTGCCTGTGTCAGGCACCGTCCTGGACTAATTTCACTGGATTCTCACTAGTGTTCTGGGAGGAGGAGAACACTGTCCTTCCTGCACTAGGAGACAGGGAACTGAGACCCTGACATGTGGAACCACCATTCTGAGGGCACTCAGAGTCCAGCTGGTGGTCTGGCTACAGTTTGGTTCTCTTGTCTATATGCCTCCCTGGTGGACACACCAAATCCTTGAAGCTTCTTAGGTTAAAGTGAGGTCTGCTTCCCAACCACTCAGGTATGCATTTACACACAGGTTCCTGGGCCTGGCCCCAGACCTACCACATCGTGATTCTAGAGCAGCTGGGCCCAGAATCTGGATTTTAAACAGCTCCCCCCCACCCCCACCCCCGATAATTCTTCACTGCACACTGAAGTCTAAGGAACACCACCTGAGACTGCCTCCCATCTGTCCCTGGTCGCCTGGCTTGCATCTTCCACCTCCTGGCTGAACTAGAGAATCAAATCGCAGACTGGAGGATTCAGGACACTTAGAGTCATTCACCAACAGGGGAAAGGAGGAAGGGAGCTTGCCAGAAGCCTCCCCGAGCACAGCCAGGATTTGGACTCAAACCTGGCCTTTGATCTCTTTTCCCTACATCACTGCCACTCCCAGGGCATGCACAGGGGGGCAAAAGGAATGAAACACTAGCGGTGTAATTTCTGGGTGTAAGGGGAAGAGTCTGGCGAGTAAAGACTGGAGGAGGGAGGGGAGCCTTGGCAGAACACCGCACTTAACCTCAGGTGGACCCTGGCGGGGAGTGCCCTCCCCACCCTCCAGTCGGGTGACCCTATGACTACCCTATCACAAGGACTGCCAGGAAAACCCACATTAGTGGGTGCTGGGAAGTCCTACCTCTCCAGGAACCTGGGGGCCCCAGCCATCTCTGAAGCTGGTCAGATCGGATGGTCCCCCACCCCGTCCGTCCACCCCTCCTTCTCTGGCTTGTCAGCAGAGCACAGGGGAAATGCTCCAGGAGGGCAACCAGAAAGCCTCCACAACAGACATGGCTCTGCAGACTGCCCCACGGAAGAAATTAGGAGAGGCTAAGCCTAGCCATGTCTATGCCATGGCTAAAACATTAGTCCATGAACTACAAAAGATAGGTTTTTGGGGGGTTTCGGGTTTTTGGTGGTTTTTTTTTTTTTTTTTGCTTTTTGCTTTGGGGCCTGACAAGCATCCTTTGCCCCTCTGTCTAGTAACAGAAGCCTCTTTCCTGTGGTTTGCATGGAACTAACTCCATGCCCTCCCCCACCCAACCTCAAGGCGCAGACCTGACCAATGTCCTCCATCCTCCTGATGGCAGCAACTGATTCACGGATGGCCACATGACCCAAACTCCCCGAATGACTGTCATCTCTAGAATTGTGCTGTGGGCGCTAGGGGGGCACCATCTTGACAGGCACCACGTACAACTAGAGGTGTCGGTGACCTCTTGATCTCCCACCATGAAGGGAAAGCCTGCCCCAAAATGGAGCCAACACAGATAAAGACAGAGCCAATGAGAGACACAGAGAGACTGAGCCTGAGAGCATCCTTCAAATGCCCAAAGACCCGAAGCCAGTATGTCTCCCCTCCCTTTTTAAAATCAGCTTGAGTTAGGTTTCTGTCACTTGCAACCCAGAGTCCTGGCTCTCTTCACTTTATGCATCTTAAAAACACCATAAGGATTTAATGTATAATTTGTAATGAAATAATTTATAGACTTTAATAAGAAAATCCATGCCTGAGACAATCAACAAGTCAAAAGCTAAAGTTTCAGTCTGTTTCTGTTTAACAACTTTAAGTAACAAGAGATGACTTTGACTAGTGCTTTGTTCAAGATCTTAAAATAATCACAAGTTCAAGTAGTTATATTAAGTGTACATACCTTTAGGGAGTCCCGTATCTTGAATGGGGTATTTGTCTGACTGTGGAAACCAACAAAAGAAGAGAGTTATTTTTAAAGCCCATAGCTCAGTTATAAGAGCAAAGTGAAAAGAAAGCTTTGTTTGGGGAAAGTCATAATTTTAGTTTAAAACCTTGCAAGTTTCTAGCCTTGGATTTATCAACAGGCCTGACCCATTGCTTATTTTTATCCTCGGCCTATAAAAATGAAATCAAGGTTGATAAGAAGTTAATGTTGGAACATGAGACAGAATAAGCCTTCTAAACTTCCTCAGCTCTGACCACTAAACCACACTTCCTCTTTTCTGAAGTGCTATGCCCCGCACCCACCCCCCATTTCCTGTCATTTAAAACTGAGGAGCATTTGCTTTTGTGAATTATGGGGATAGATCCATTTCTTGTCCCCATTTCTGTGGCATTCCTTTGGGTCAACAAGCCTGTGGACCAGGGAGTACTCACTCTTGTAGAGCTCTGTTCTGGGTTGACTAGGACAGGATTCAAAAGCCAACCAGCCTACCGACTGCACAAAGATCTACAAAGATCTACTCATCATGTATAATTATACACAGCTTGTCAGTGCACTGGATGGAGGCAGTACCATGGGAGGGAATTCAAAATAGCAAAGGCTCTTGCAATCATGTATTTCTTTCTTGGTACCTCCATGCAGGTATTCCGGAAACTTTGACTTCCGATTAAACTTTGACTTCCCTGAGAGGAGCGGGAATGTGCCCAGTCTCCCCATCCTGTCCCCTAACCCCTGCTCAGCTCCCACTCCCCATCTGGGCCTTTGGGTCCATGCCCTCCAGCCTTAAAAAAAAAAGGGCTGCACCTTCCAAATTGCCTGTAGGTCTCATGCATGTCTTCCTCCAACAGAGGAGAAAAAGAAACAAATGTGGAACCAAGGATTTTGCTTTAAAACCCCTTCCTTGCAGTTTCTTTGGAGCTGAACAGTGAAGTTTCCAAACCTCTAGAAGCCTCGAACTCCTCTTCCACAGAAGAACACGATCAATCAGTCATCAATCATGGAGAACTTAAGTCAAATTCTCCCTGAGACTAAATTCTTCTAGTCTGTTCCGCAGAGCATGGAAAACACACCCATACTATAACACTTCTCAGGCTGTTTCTAAAGTACGGACTTGCCTATTTCCTCAGATAAAGTCAGAGTTTTTCCAAAAAAAGGAACTATGATCTTTGCAAACCCACACTTTGACTCAGTGCCAAATAAGCATCTACCAGAAGTCGACGTGAAGGGCCCAACAGACTGGAGCAAATGCAGGTTTCCTGGAAGGACTGACATTTGAGCTAGGCGTGGAGAATGCCCATGAACTTGGGTGACCAAGAGGAAGAGCACGGTGGACACAGAGGAGCAAATCCAGGTGGTATGAAGGGTGACAGGTGTAGAAGCCGAGATGCACGCTAGAGAGGGACAGGGATGGATAGGAAATGAGGGGGCCAGTTTACATGGAAGATTCTGGAAGTGAGGTGAAAAGATTTAGGTGGGTGCCATTTCAGGTTCTTGGAAGCTTGGACCATCAAACTTTGCTTTGTGCCCAGCATTGAATATGGGATGACATTCAATACAGTCTTGCAGGAACTCACACAAGCAAATAATTCTGGCATGGTGTGATAAAGAGTAGGGGTTGGGTTGTGGAGAAAGGAGACCCCAAGGCCCCAGGGTGAGGCAAAGAAAGCATCACAGGGGAGGAAGCACAGGAGTTCCTTAGGGGAGGAAACTGGGAGATTTTCCTCATGGGACAGAACAGTGTTAGCATCCCTGGAAGGTGAGAAGGCGTGGGGTGTTTCAGGAGCAGCAAACAGCTACACTCAACTGGCTCATCAGGAGGGATGCTGAGATCAGGTCATGGATGACCTCATCTGCTATGTTGAGGAGTATAGGCTTCATCCTGGGAGCACCTGCAATGTCATGGGCTGACATGCGTCCTCCCAAAAAGATCTGTTGAAGTCCTAACCCCTGGTCCCCCCAAATGTAACCTCATTTGGAAATAGGGTCACTACAGACTTAGCGAGAGGACTAGTGAAGATGAGATCATACTGGAGTAGACTGGAGCCTCGAGTCAATAGGACTGTTCTCCTTACAAGAGAAGAGATGCAGAGATGCAGACCCACGGGGAGAATCCGGCCACTTGCCAAGGCAGCGAGGGCACTGGAGGGATGCAGCTGAAAGCTGAGAACCACCAGGGGTTGCCGACCACCACACAGACCAGCAGAGATGAGAAAGGATTCTTCCCCACCGGTTTCGGAGGGCGGACAAGGGCCCTGGCCCTCCCAACCTGCAGATGTGGTGGGGGGGCACTTAGGTCACCCGCTGTGTGGTCCTCTGTTGTGGCAGCCCCAGCAAACTGACCCAGGGAAAGTTTGGGGAAATCACTGTGCCCTGGCACAGAGAAGTGAGCGGGGGGGGGGGGGGGGGGCTGTGTGACCCTAGGCGAGAGGGAAGGAGAACCTGATGTTGGCAAGAGAGTGGGAGTCTGAGAGCAGCGCAGTTTGGGCTCTGGGGAAGGGGACCGGAAGGACAAACGGAGTGCACCTTCTAGCGCTGAAGGTTCTCATTCAGGACTACAGCACGGGGAATGGTGAGCGATAGCCACAGGGCCGGCCCACGCTCTGTCTTTCTGGAATGTAGGGACAGGGGATGTTTCCATACTGATTTCCACCGTGCGTCCAGCTTTGTCCCCCACGCTGTCCCTTAGCAAAATGTGCAGTGGGGACTCGAGACATAAGGACAAACACCTCAGGTCTTCAGGACCCTGAGGTGCCTCGTGAATCACCAAAGACTTCAGGATATTTCATCGAATTATATTGTCTAATGATATTGTTGTGTGTATTTTATGTCATTCTAACTAAATTAATCAGAATTTTTCATGGACTGGGCGGTTCCTCTCCTCCAAACACTTTTTTTTTTAAAAGGAATGTGTCACACCCTATATGCATAATAACACATGTGATGTTGCCAGAGGCATGGATCTGGTCATAAGCAAGAGGCGGTTCCATATCGGCAAGCAGGGCTCCCATCTGGGTGATTTTACACAAATCCGTTAACACTCATCACTTCATCTGTAGAATGGGGTGGCTGTCCTACCATCTCAGTGATTATTTGGAGGATGAAGACGATGTATGTGAAATCCTTGGTAAACCTTCAGCAGCAGACACACCACGGACTGGTTCTGGGAGGGCAGGGCAGGGACCTGAAGCCAGCTGCTGGGTCTGCATCCCGCCTGGGCTGCTTCCAAGGTGGGCCACTTACCCCAACCCCTGTGTCTCAGCTGTTCATCTATGAAATGGGCAGAGCTTATCTTATAGGGTTGTTGCATATGTGAACCAAACAGTGTGTGCCCAGCTAGCCAATGGGCAGCCCCCAGTTAACTGTACAGTAGTCCTGTTTTTTCCTTCATCTCACATTAAATATTTTGCATTTTGAAGAGGAGGAAGTTAAAAGGAGCCAGGTAAGTATTTAAAACAGACAAGTATACAAAGGCCTGATATAATCTAAGAAGATCACAAGAACAGAATCTAATACCATTTTTAGCCCTGAGAAACCCAAAGTTTATTACATCACAGAGAACACTGTGATAAAGACATTTATCTTGGGAAAACCTTACTTCAAGGTTTCTGATCTTCGTGTAAATACTGAGCAATAAAAATGTAACAAAGGGAAAAAAGGATTAACAAGAGTTGTCACCATTGATGTAAAGATTGTAACCTACCATGTTAAAGGATAAAGTGCTAGGGTCCGTGTCTTCCACCGGTTCCTTTGCCATATGATCTGTAAGAAAAAACAAAAACAAAAACAAATGGAGAGTATTTTCTTTAAGAGCACAGATGTGTCCTTTGAGAATTATCTTCATATCCATGCAAGCTGCCCTAGTCAGGCTTGAGAAAAACGTACTTTCAACCATTACTAGAAACGAAATAGGAAGGAATGGGGTCAGACGGCACCAAGAAAGAGATTAAGACAAACTTTATTTTAAAAAAACACCATACTTTGAACAGTTTACCTGTAGAGATCTACAGACACTCGGAGTTATATATAACCATGGATTATGCAAACATGGTACCCATGACTCTTTGGTATTATTTGATTATAACTTTGAGCAGGGATGACATGATCCTGATTTCTCCTTCTCTCCATGTTTCCCACTCTTCTGTAATGCTTTTTTAAATTATTTAAAAATATTAAGCTTCTGGCTGTGGTTTAGGTAATTTAATAAAGTCAGCAACTTCCCAGGATCATTATCTAAGTGATTTTGACTTCCCAAGATTTTGCTTCTTATTTACCACTTGTTGCATTTAAGAAATTGAATGAGGAAAAACAGAAAAAGGTATAGGCCTTGGTCGAGGCCACCACTAGATCTTAAGAATTTATTCAAAGCAGAAAAGAGCCCTCCCATTCCAAGACACTTGCCCAGACATCTGCCGGAAAACTATGTTAATAAAGAACCAAATCCATTTGAGTGGGGGCCTCTAGATTTGTGCAGTGCACAACCTAAGAAACCCTAAGTGGAAGCCTTAAAGCAGCCAAGAGTCAACTTAAGTTGAATTAAGTATACACTGTGGACCAGGCACCAGGCCCAGGAAATGCCTTTGGGTATCAAAACGAGCATATCAAGATGATTTACTGATATATTAATTTGTGTTTGTTCTCCCTAGATGTCTCCCTTCTAGAATGTGTCTGGGCTTTTCACAGATCTTTGCCTGGCAGGTGTTGACAATGCCCAAAGGAGAAGCAGTGTGAAGGGAACATCTCTCTGTTTTATGACAGCCTATTAACTGGAGAGATTAGTGGCCCAGAGGAGTGGGGACAAACGGAGACAGCCTTCTGCCAGTGTCCTCCCATGGAGTGGGGGATAGACGTCTGCAGCCACATGAGTGGGACTGTGCCCTGGTCCCTGGCAGGGCCCAGAGGTAGCAAGGCCACATCAGGGGATGCACAAGGGGGACTTCCCCGCCCTAGCAAAGAAACCCGTGATTTGTGCCTGGCACAGATGCAGAGGGCTGCTGGATCTCAAGGGTCTTCTAAGGCTCAGACCCCGAGGGTATCGATGCCTAGCAAGATGCCACCCTAGTTCTCCCAGCACCACATCCTCCTGGATTCCTGTGTGACGCTAAGGAGGGGCCCAGGGCCCCATTTGGACTGAGATGGAATTTCCTGGCAGCCCAGTAGGATATAGACTCGAACATGGAGTTAAATCCATGTAAAGAAATTAAGAGCCACTTGTGGTGCTAATTCCACTCCGAGTTTGCAGGATTTCTGCGGCCCAAGTAATAGGCACTTAGACCGCAGAGCACTCAGTGTTCAGTAACGGAAGCGCAGAATGATACGGAAACAAGAGGAGGAGCCCATGCCCAGCCTTGGGTGTGTGGGGGGGGGGGGCGGGGAGCAACGGGGCAGAAGAGCCTGCAGGGGAACTGACAGCAGAGCCTGGAAGGATGAGCTGAAGTGAGCCAGGAGAAGGGGAGGGACAAGCATCGTAGGTAGAGGGAACAGCATGGGCAAAGGCCGAGAGATGAGAAAGAACACGACATACTAGTGTACTCCAGATATGTCCAGCCAAACTCACCGAGTTTGGTTTTTGAGTTTTGCCTTTCCATCCTTCTCATTCTGGTTTCTGGCTGGGGAGAGGGTGGTAGACGCCACCTCAAGTTCCTTCCTCCTACCCCTCCTATCACAGCCTTGTCTCAACAATTCCATTTTCACTAGAGTGGAGCTGGATGTTAATACTTTAAAACATGCCCCCCATCAGGGGTGCGGTATGTATATTAGCAGGTACCAACAATGGAATTTCAGGTCCATGGGCTGTGCAGGAGCTGGGGTGTGTGTGTGTGGGGGGGAGGCGGGGAAGTGGTTTCTAAATGACCCTCAACAGGGTCTGTGCAGATACCGCCCACTGTATCTATGACAAGTTAGTTTTGCTTCCTACAGAAAAATTAGCATGAGAGGAAGGAAATGGAGGACATGGCTGGGAAAGGCAGAATTACACCAAAAGGAGCAGTGAGGATGCCGACAGCACAGTTAAAAGGAAGGCAGACTGGGCTCGGATGCAGACCTTGGCTCTCCCAGCCATGCCACCGCTGAGCAGCAGTCTGGCCTTGAACAAGTGGAGGGGTGTGACTTTGGACGAGCCTCGCAGTGTGACCTTGGATGACCTCAGTGCTTGCTGCCTCAGGTTCCTTCCCCTGTAACCTGCAGTCAGGGGGCCCAGGAGATGGATGTTCTGGTCAGGCCGGGGGTGGGCACCCCGTCCACTCCCCTCAGACCCTGACCCTGCTTTGGGTTGTACCTGAGCATGTCTCCAGAGGCTGTGAGGTGAACAGGAAGGGCCAGGCCAATGACAGCACCTGTCTGGAGGCCCAAAGTCTCTTGCTTTGGTCTGAAATCCCTGAGAATAAATGGAACTTACGATAGGAAGGGCACAACGAATTTAGGTTTCTCATTTTCTGAGGCATGGCCGCAAGGCGAAAGGGCAGTCGGGAAAGGCAACGGGCTCGGAACCAGCCGTGGAGGCACTTTCAGGGCTTTTGATCACGTTCTCTGGAGCCTCTGATGTGGATCAGACCGTGGAGAAAGTTCTTGCAGGCGCGATATTGCCAAGTTCGCTCACAGACCCAGGCCCCCGTGGCGCCCGATGTGCTCTGCCCTGACCCTATGCCTTCTTCTGCCCGGAAAGTCCTTGTGGTTCGCACTCAACTGCCCTTGTTTGCAAGGCCCGGATGGCTGTGTACGGAAGAGATAATTTGGAGGAGGGCTGACCCTGGTTATCTGATACTGGCCTGGAAGTAGGAAGTTGTCCTAAAGCATTTCTGAGAGCTCTTAGAGCTGCACGGTTACAATATTTTTAAGTCTGAAATCAAATCGTTTATTTGGAAGCATTAAAAGGTTTATTTTTATAGGCCCCAGGGAACAGCAGGGGGTCCCCCAGGCAAGGCTCTGATATCAGTTGAGATACGAGGCACAGGAGGGGCCAAAACAGTAAGGGGGACCCTGGGAGCTCAGGCCAGGGCGGCTCTCGGCTGTTGCTCTGCTGTCCCGGGCAGTCCCCTCCTCCCAAAGCCACCTCGCCTCTCCTGGATCGGTCACTCTAAGCAAGGCACAGACCTCCCCAAATTAGCTGGCAATTGACCAAAAAGGATCTCACTGGTGGCAGCGAGGACGATGTTTAATTTATATGAACATCTTCTGGAGAGTTCTCAAAAGGCATGAGGCCCAGGGTGAACTCACGCAGCATGGCCCTTGGAGAGGGCACCTGGCCTTGCTCTTGGAGACTGAAGGTGAGAGCCAGCGAGGTAGGCAGGCTGCACGATCACTTGTTTCTCTGTCCCTAATCTGTAATATTCATGGGTGAACAGAGAGCCTCCACATGTCCTTCCGGATCTAAAGGTCCGTGAGTGGTGAGAAGCAGGGCCCCCGGGGGCAAAAGAGCATCTTCGGGCTAATGTCACTAGGACATAGGAAGCCAAGGTCCACAGCACCTTCATCTGAAATTCTGCTAGAGCTCCCACTTACCTAGTGCCCAGCCTGTGCCTGTTTTCCACTACTTTCAGAGGTTCTAGAAGTTCATGCACTGACCACCATTGAAAGTGGGGATAATCTCTCTGTCCAGATTTTCCCTTGTCACAAAGATGTCAGTTACAGGAGATTAGGGCCCACTCTAACGACCTCATTGTAACTTGACTGCATCGGTACAGACTCTAGCTCCAAATAAGGTCCCATTCTGAGGTACCGGAGTTAGGAGGGCAACAAGGTTTCTGGGGGGAAATGCAGTGCATAACAGCCCACTCTCTGGCCCCCCAAATTCATGTCCTTCCCATGTGCAAAATACCTTCACCCAACGTCCCCCAAAGCACTAGTCTTTCCAGCATTGACTCGAAGTCCAAAAATCTCAGCAGGCCTCATCCCCTCGAAGACCCAAATCTCACCCATAGAATCAGAACCGCCGACTACATCCCACAGCTTCTTCAGAAGCAACAATCTCACATTTTGCAACACAGCCCCCCGTGAGCTGCCCAACAGCTGCACTGTTCTGTCCTGACATCTCCCTTCATTAGTCCCAGCAGCCGAGGGCCAACAGTTCTGAGAGACAGTTTCTCCGAGGAAGTTCAAAGGCGGCCTCTGAGGATGTTCTTTGGAAGCCAATGAAGAGGGGAGCATGTCAGAGCTTCCTGCCCTTCCCGGGGCACCCAGAGCCAAGAGAGTGAGGCCTTGGGTGCTTTCTAGTGACGAATTCAAGGCAATTCTTCAAACTTGGGATTTCAGAGTCAACTTATTTTTCATTCGTGATTATTATTTTGTGTGTGTGTGCGATAGCTTTTCTTTTGACTTACGGCTGTTTTCATTCCTGGTTCTGAAGAAACCCCAGAGTCCTAACCCTATTCGGGACTCTGAAAGCTCTTAGAGCCGCAATGCTGGGCGGTGGTGTGGATGCAGGATTCAATCTCTCCTCTTCCCTGATTCTGCAGCAGCCCCGCTCTGTCATCCTCAGACCAGGGGCTGAACAAGTGGAGGAAGGACCAGGGGCTCAGGAAGGTGCCCACCTAAGAGTGACTTCCCTGGAGGGTGGCCAGGCATTCAGTCAGGCTCATGCCTACAGAGGGGACAGAGCTGGAGGGGCCAGGGAAGGGGAGGAGGAGGGAAGAGAGGGGACAAAGGGATCAAAGAGGAGATTCAGACGAGGGGAAGTAATTGGGAGAGAGAGAAGAAAATCTAGAAGACAGGCATGTAAGAAAGGAAAAGAGATGAAGTGGGCATTGGGAAAGCACACCAGCAGG